ACTTCACAATTTAGCTGAAAAACAAAAAGAAGAAAAAATAGGGGCAAGAAAGTGTTTTTTTTTCTTCATACAATACGATGGTAACTAATAATCTTACACGACGTTATTCTCACGATATGGTGGAAGATCTGAGCAACTATGCAATCCTGACATATCTGGTGGACTACATATATACTCAAGTGAAGTATCTTCAGGTTTGTAATAACTGTAATAATTATTCTATGTTAAAAATAAACTTCAATTAACAACAAACAGTGTTTATAGCTTAATTTATAAAAGTTATTCAGGCCAACAGTAATATTTGGTCAACCACCGGTTTATTCAGTGCTTTTATTTTTGCAACAAATAGATTTTTTTTTGCTTCTATTTAACTATACTAAAAAACAGTGCTTTTTGGAATTGAGATTTGAAGAAAAAAGTCATTAGTTAGGCATACAAATAAAACAGTTACATACGTTAAATTAAACTGTAAGAAGTATTCTTTTTGATTCTCTGGATAAGTACATCGATGCCTAAAAAATACTGATGACACTCATATGATTAGAACTGTACTCAAAATGAGCAACAGAAAAAAAATAAACCACAAAGTTGGATAATAACAGCATTAAAGAAATTTTTTTTGACATTTTTGTACTATCAAATTTTATTTATTTGACCATTCAAAAAATTATTGTTTTTTTTTTTTTTGGCAACGTAAACCTTGGTGCCTTTAATGCTTCAAACTTCTACGATTAACATTTTGAAGTATGGCCTCATTCTGTCAACAGTATAAAGATCAACTTTAAAGTATCCCAAAACAAAAAAAAAAAAAAAAAAACTTTTGCAGCCATAAGAACTGAAGAGCTAGCTGTAAAGAAGTTATCAAATATTGAAAAAAGAGGAAGAAAAAAAACAAGCACACACAGTCTACACTTAGATTCTTTGTCAACACTTGCTTAAGAGTAAACTTAAAATTTCATAACAAAATGCTAGAAAATTATTGTCAAAATTTGTTGCCATTCTCTGTTGATTTCTTGGCATTTTTCAGCTGATCTAATCAACAAATTCACTTCAACATATTATACTGCCGACAAGACTGTCTACCGACCTTAAAACTCCGGCCCACATTTGTACACCGACAATTCCAAATATGAAGAAAACAAAAAAACATAACAACAAAACATTCCCCAGCATTGGCAGAGTATCGAGAAGAAGGTTCACTGAAAAATAGTTCATTGATTTTTGTTGTTTACAACTGAATGATCTCAGTTACATCAAAAAAAATTGTACAAAATTTAATTCATGATTTTTATGCTGTAAAATTTTGAAGAAGAAATGTCGTTGGCCATTCTTACCAAGAATTCTCATAGAAGGAATCCTATTTACAGCTCTTAATGGCCTTAGTACCCGAATTGTGCGTATCGCTGTCAAATTTATGTTACCGAGATATCGTTGTAAAGCATATTCAGCAATGCTAAAAACTTCTATCTGTTTGTAGTTTCTGACTATTCAACTATTTATTCTAATTATAACAGTAATAAATAATCGAAAAAAAAACAATTGCTTACCCAGAACAAACAATAAAAAAATCTAAACGATTCCAGGTATCAGAAAGATATGCGGAAGACCCGTAAAATCCAAGAGCAACCACTTTGATGACCTTTAAATATTTAACAATTATTTTGTTAGAAGTTTTCTTTTTAACTGCATAAGATTTCGAGACATTTTAGCATTACAAAATAAAAATTTAATAATTGTTAAACAGATTTCATTGTCTTTTAAAGTGAAAAACACTTTTTTTTCAGGGTAATTATTTTTTTAGGATGCTTTAGAAAAAATTAAAAGTTAAAAAAAAAAGTTGTTTTGTTTTGTTCTTTTTTTTTCGCAATGCTTACCATTTCAATGAAAAAATAACCGAAAATAATGTGATCAACCAGTGATAAAACTTGGCATCGATAGGAGGAACAGGCTAATGCTTCTTCGCAAGGCCGATACATACCCAGCGTAACACAGTTGATTAAGATAACGATAATTGTGATACGATCAAACCACGGATTCATCACCAGTTCCAAAGCCCAAGAACGTGGTGGTTTTGATTGATGCAAACAAAACAGACTTGATTCCACAAAACTTAAGCACAACAGTTACTAAATTTTATCAACTTCTTTTGAGTCTTTTATTATTTTTTTGTTAAACACTTCTTACCCTGGATAAGGTAGTTCGTTTTGCACCTCAAAAACATTATCTTTGGTATCCCATTCGACTTGCAATTGCCGCTGTTCCGTTCCAGCAGATGCATCGTCAAGCCAAAAATAAGAATGGGTACCTTCTAGGGAAAGAGTTTTAGACCGGCCTCGTACCACATTGCTGGGACTGGGAACCACATCCCAATTTGATGACACCTAAAACCATATCCATTATTCAGATGATATTTATCACAAAAAAGGAAACTTGGCATAATTACCACAGAAATATTTACAACTTCTTCTTACACTATTATTTATGCCTATTAACAAACTAAGTATTAAAAACCGTATTGTTGTTATTAAAATTATTTAATAAAATAAAAAAGCTATTAAAAAATGTTAATATTAAATTTTCTTTTTTTTTTCTGATTTAAAGACCAATATAGAGCTTAAAAATGTTTAGACTACCAGTCATTTTATGTGCAATATTGTCTCAAAAAAAAAAAAAAGTTTCTGTTTTTTTTTCTTGAAGACTATATTATTAAAAACTATATTAAAAAAAATACCATATTATTATCATCACCATCATCTACAGCAGTAATTGTCAATTCAAAAATTCCAGACAAAGTAATGCTCGTCATTAGTCAGTTATTATTGCACCAATTTTAATAACTGACATTTTGTCTCTTTTTTTTTGGCGACAAAACTAACTGAACATCTTTGAAAAAACTCTTTTATATATTTTTTTGTATAAAAGCTACTGATTATATAAGTATTCTTCTGGTTTTTTTTCCATATAAAATGTAAATGAAAATGAACGACAACAAAAAAAAGAA